TCAGCTGATTTTTGCCGCGCGCTTCTCCTTTCGAAATCGAGGGGCGCGGCTGCTTCGCCGCTGTCGATGGCCGCGGGAGCTGCCCGGCCGGCAGTGGCCGCGCCGGGAAGGCCCCGCGCCTTCGCGTGAGAAACCTCGGCGCGCAGCACGTTGGGTGCATGGGCGTGGCGCGCGCGCACAACAAAACCGAACTGTGCCGCGCCCGCTTCGCCGCCCCTCCCTTCCCTTCGGCCGATCGCCCCCCGGGGGGGCACTCCTGCTTTTCTGGGCGCGGCTGGCAGAACTTTGGCTCGTGTGCGGGGTGGCCGGGTGAGTAGAGGGAAAGCACGATGGTTGTGGTAGGTCGGTGGTGTGTGTGCTTGCTGCTGCTGCTGCTGCGGACGGGGTTTGATAACTGATAAGGGAGAAGGTGGTGCAGACGATCCGTTTGGAAATTCCGAAAGAATTGAATAGGTGTCTTATTGTTGTTTATCCGGTGTATCAGTGTTACCCATTACACTTGCTATAAACACGATAATGATAACCCATAGTGATAGCGACAATTATTGTCATCATTGACGAAGACATTGGCTGCTATAACGCCAGGGATAGCGTTGGCGATGGCGGTGGAGACGGATGCGGTGGCGAAGGCAGGGTCGGGGAGGAGGAGGAGGAGGCGACCCCAGATTAGCGGCTTGAATGCTTTCATAACACGGCCAGGCCGCGGCTGTTTGGCCCGTGTTTACATATCCGCCGGCGCGGCGCACGCCCTCCTGCCGCCCCCCGTGAGGGACGCCTCCGCCGCCGCCGCCGCCGCCTTCGCTGCCCTCAGCAGCTGGGTGCTGCGGGATGCGGCGATGCCAGGCGAAGTTCCTTACGGAACTCGCTACGGGCGGGATAGTTCAGTATGTTCCGCAACAAGAAATACCATCTTTACTAATAACACAAATATTCAAAAGTGATCTACGAAATTTCTTCCTGTCAATCTTGATCGATATGGGCTAGTGTTTATGGCTCGTGTAAGTTAGCACATTTTTCGACTTAATGTCTTTTGCCGAAATGTGTTTATACATTTTAGCGAATTGGGGCATTCTTCTTCTTTTTGGTGAGCTCTACATTGCATTGTAATGAGTCTATTTCTGTATAATATAACGCTTTAACTTATTCTCTTGCGAGATAAATGTGTGTAGAAAAACTGATGTAGTAGTAACAACTTCGTAAAACTTGTGTGAATTTGAATGAGAGGGGCAACATTTGAAGTCAGCAATGTTTTATAGAACGTTCTAAGGAATTCTCTAGTACAGATATTGTTACAAAAATGGCTACAGAATTTTGAAGGAAATATTTCTAAAATAAATTATTCACTCGTGTTCTAATGCAGCGTATTTTCACTTACTTTTTTAAAATGTTAATCTCACTAAATTACAGCGCTATGAATCTCTTTATCTTATTTTTACTTAAACGCAAACCTCTTCCAGCAATGTGGGTGGTACAAGTAAGCTTCCACGACTCGAGCTCATCACTTCTTGACTCTCCGGGTGATGCCGCGTCGTTGGCTGAGAGACCAACGTTTCGCCTGTCATATCGCCTCAGGGTAGTGGTCTACCCTGAGGAAGCCTGCGATATGACAGGCGAGACGTCGGCCTCTCAGCCAACGACGCGGCGTCACCCGGACAGCCAAGAAGTCAATGTGAGTGATAGAGACTGTAAAAAATTAGTTTTCATCCTTGAGTCGTTGGTCTTTTTCACTGAGTCCCTTACGCTGCGAATACTAATTGCCCTCCTTGGAATTTACTATCTTAGAGAGACTGTGCGAGAAAGAGGACAGTGAAGAGCTGCAATCTCGGATTTGCTGGGGACTCTAAAGGTAGTTTAAAAGCTTTGGTTACCTAAAAGTGACTATATCTATCTCCAATCGGACTTTTAATTAGTTTTAAATGTTCTTTTAGAAGAATGCCACGGATTTTCCACCTTGTATAACATTCAATTATGTTGTTACTTTTTTTTCAAATTTCAGATTTTTCTTCATTGATTCACTTTTTTGAAAATGCATTTAAATTTATATGTGTTGACATTTCTGTTTTTTTAGTGTTTTATTCAACATTTCTTTAGTTTTAGATTCTTTACATTACTATCTACAACATCGACTCTTCGTATTCCGTCTGCATTTTCTGTTACACTTTCGGATCAATACATTCTCTCTCCTTCCTCTGGCTTCTCATCAGGGCCGCGTTGCCTCCCCACAGTCCTTACCCTGTTTCTGCGGTTTCGTCTCGACTGAGCCGCCTCGGCCCGAACAGCGCCGGGACTTTCGCTTGCGACTTCGCAGCCCCTCGCGCTCACTTCGCCTGCGCCGTCTTCGCCGCGGCCGCTAACAATATGCACTGCGGCGGCGGCGGCGGCG